CCAAACCACAGGATAAGAATTTTTTGGGATTTGATTGATGTTCGTATCATGCGAGAAGTTAAAGGCAATAGGTCAGCATTTGTTAAAATCTATCTAACCAAAAAAGTTGGACCAAGTCTTTCAATTTAAATTTAGATATTTTGTTTTTATAAAAAAGGTCATAAAAAAGTAAAAAGTAAAAGTAAAAATAATAAATAAGAACTGAATTGGAATGTTTCGGCCCATTAATTTTTAACTTTCAATTCACTGTTTTTTTTTTTTTTTTAGGAGGAATTGGCAAAATTTGGCATACGACCAATCGGTAAAAAAAGAGGCATAGCGCTTTTGAAAAAGATCTATAATGAAACACATCCAGGTTCGTTTTGAATTTCTTACTTGGTTTTTTTCAACATACTTTTGCCTTTTGCGGCAACTTGTATGCCCCATTGTCTGTGAATAAACCGTCGTGGACATTAAGTGGATCCTTCCAGCCACTGCTTTTCCACTCTGCTCAACTCTGCAGTGCCCTCTTGTTGTCGAATATTCCACATTATTTAAGTGTTAGCGCTCATCATTGCCAAGTGATCAACTCAGCTAAACCTTGATTCGTAAAAATTACTAAAAATTACTGATTCATAAAAATTACTAAAAATTACTAAAATTACTAAACTGAATTTTAGGGAGAAAGATTTGAATAATTCGATGATATAGACGAAAAAATTAGTAAATAAAAGCTGAAGAAAAGCAAAATTTAGTAACCGGTAAAATGATGAAATTGCAGTGCTAGAAATGACCCCGGTATCGAGAAAGAGCAGGACATACGTCAAGCAAGAGAAGGCGAACGATCTTGACATGGAGGAGGTGGAGGAGGATTACACTGCGGATAAAACGCTGAACAGAAGTCTGGATGAATTTGACATTATGGAAGAGTCTTACATGGGCGAACAAGAGCCTGCTCTATTGCCTAAAGTAAACAGTGCTTTTTTTGCTCAAAAAGTATCAAAAAAAAAAAGAACCACTTTCAAGCCTCTGGTGTAACCCAGGATATATTTACGTTCATTGCTTAGTGTTTTTGAGAAATTCTATGCGATTAACTCTTAGCACACTTTGTCAAAGCTCGTTTTGGAGTAGCGCAAAAAGACCCCTAACAGATAGGCTGATAAATTTTACAGGTGGAGCAGGAAATGCGGTAAACCTGAATTTTGCCTAAAAAAAGCCAGGAACAAAGTGAAAAGTAAACTGTTAACAGGCTATCTTCCAACTGATGCAGCTTCACATCCAGTATATTGGAAAGGTTGATGGTCCTTCCAACAGTGGTAGTTAAAAAAAGCATCAAAATATTATTGACGACGATTTTGTTGTTGTTCTTCAGCTTTCTGTTCTTTAAAACCTTAGTCTCGGGGTTTCTTTTTGTATTATTGAACCTTGGGTATGCCGACTTATGAATTTTTTGGCGACAATTAGACTTCCGTGAAAGAGCTCGAATGATATCAGTCATTCACAGGATCTGGACGGTATGCAGTGTGCCTTGTTGCAATGGCTCCGGAAGGATGAAAATTCCAGCTTATATAATCAGTTGCTTGGCCTGAATGTGATTTCTTTTGTAAGTTTATCCTCATTCCGTTGAATGATTTCATTATCCTTAACACATATTCATTTGGTTTCGATTAGCAGAAGATTCTAC